TGATTTTAATTCTTAATGTTTCACGTACGGAACAATCTGATTTCCCAAATCTGTTCAAAGTAGTGTCAGTTTTGCTGTCCGTTCCGGCTACTTCAGCATTTATAGAAAGAGTATTCACTGTTATGAACGCAAAGTGGAGGGACGATAGGAATAAAGCTTCATTAAAACTAATTAAAAATGAACTTTTAGTTTACTTAAATCTTTGTTTGCCATGTTTAGAGGGTATTAATGTATTTAAGAGCGGCAGCAAAAATACTTTATTTTTATGCTGAGTACTTTCTCTTTTGAACCATTTAGTCGAGAAATACTTTATGTAAAGCCTGAAAAGGTGGCAACCCTAATTGCGATGTTCTTGACCTAAACAATATGGTGAATTTATGGATAAAACTTAAACACAGGCTAATTCGGTATTAACCTATTGTATTAGGTATTTCTTTTATTAATATCAATATCTACTTTAAGAAAGTTTTTCGGGTTCAATTCTCGACGAGGCTGTGACAACAAACAACAAACAGTTTTATCTCATTAACTTGAAATAATTTATAGTGAGATGAAATTAAGTTGATTTAATATTATTGTTTGATAATTATTTTTTATTTATAAATGCAAACTTTTGCACGTGGGTGTGTGAAACATTAATTGGAAAATTAAAGTACAACAGTTGATTAATCGGTTGCGCCCCCTTCCAAACAGAATACTTTGCTAGGACCCTGCTTTCTAGCAAATCCTNTTTTTTTACAAGGTGGAAGTGCATTCGGCTTTTTCCCGATAAGTACTTGTTACATCCACACTAGATCAGCTGAGCGACGTTAGTCGCCTAGATCCAGGCCGGTAATGAAACAAATTGTACGTTTAAATTTACAAAGCTAATTTGCGAGCTCAATTGTCGCTGGATTGAAAAATAGTATAACACTTTTTGTTGTATTTTGTGTCAGGAAACCATGGTTTCTTGTTTAATTATTATAAATGGGACACCCTGTATACATCAGAGAAGAAGTCTTCTGCTAAAGGTATTTTTTTTTATTTAGATTATACTGGAGGAGAGGAAATCTTCAAAAGACAACCCCGAGCGGAGGTAGTGTCGGATTCTTACCAACTAAAACCCCTCCTCGAGCGGAGAGATAAACCCAGCAATCCACAGGGTTTAATCTCCCCGCTCGAGGAGGGGTTTTAGTTGGTAATAATCCGATTTTGTGGTAAAAAAACGTACATTATTATATGCTGCTCGAAACGAAAGTAAATATAAATTAAAAAACTCATAAACGATTGAAATTTTATTTGAACCTGCCCGTTACTAATTTTTTTTTAAATCTTCCGGGTTGGTCCTATCGAGAGTTGACAACCCTAAGCCTGAGCATGAGTGCGTTAGTATTCAACCAACCCCCGTATAATTGAACGCTGATAGACTAGATATCTATTTCCAAAATAAGATAAAACCGACTAAAATTGTAATATCAAAACTAACAAAAAAAGGCATCTTTCTTAATGTAAAACCGAATAGGAATCAGTGATGTGTAAGTATTAGTTACTATGCGTCCATAAGAACGTCTAAAACGAGGAGGACGACATTATCATTATCTCCAGATATTTGCCCACGCAACCCTCTTCAGTCGGCTGGAGTGTATAAGATTGACTTCATAATAAGAGAATAACAATTTGCAAAAGGGTCGAAGGGATAAACGGACGGATGCCGCGGAACGTTTTCGCGCATCTCTCGGAAATGGAGCGGTCGCAAGCATGATAAGTGGCAGCAGCGAAAGGAGAACGAGTGAGAGGAGAAATGGGGAGAGAATGAGAGAAATAGGGAGGAGTGAACACGGGCGGAAGGGTGAAGAGGGCGGGAATATCGGTCCATGATGTAATTAACAGTCTTAACGTAATTGGCTCTAGTCTCGTTAGCAAGCCGTGAACTTAGTAATTAATCCATGGTTTCGCCCGGAGCAGAAATATTAATTATAAAGGAGATGTTCGCTCGGTTTACTTTAATCTGTGTCCTAATCACGTATTACAACGCCGTTAATTAGACGACGCCATTACTGGGCGTTTTTTTTTTGTTTTTAATTTTAGCAGCCGCCTGTTTTTTAATTTTCAATATTTGAACTGATTTCGAGACGAGGTTACGAAATGACGGAAAAACGGGTTTTCGGTACGCGAACGTAATGGGGAGCTAATTGGAAGACACATTTTTAGTGGCACGTTAAATCGTACTTTCAGAGGCAAAACCCGTTTTCTTTTTTTTTTTGTAAGCACTTCACTTTTTTAGAAAACCGCGTCGAAGTTTCGCCAATTTAAAAGCAGAAAAGGACGAAAAATGGACAGTAGTAAAATACATTCATATTCTGTTTACCATTTGACTTTTCCCTGACCTTTAGTATCATCTTACTTGACCACTTTCTTTCAAAAAAGTTTACTAGCTTTACAGAGCATGATGGACATTAAAAAGAGAATAGCGCTTTGTACAAAAAGAAATCACTTCTATGGTGTCATAATCATCACAAAGTCATCAGCCTAGATATATCTCTACACTTCTTAACCCTGCGTCCCACGTGTGGGGTGAGTCAAACCCCAAGCTGCAAAAATTGCATATAACTTTTCAGAATCAATACGTTATGATCGGGAATGCTCAGTATAGCTTCCCATTATAGTTTTTTTTACTAAATTAAGATATTTAGACAATAACAATTGTAGTGTGTTTAAATAGGACGCGGTTTTAAGTGGTTGGGATTCAGAAGTGACCACTGTTGATGGTCAATAAATTGTTTTCTGTTAGCGTCGATATAAATATCTTTTGGTTCCTGCATTTTACTTTGCGTATTCAGGTGGTTTGATTTTAATTCTTAATGTTTCACATAAAGTAAACTTTTAAGAAGTAGCATATGTTTTATCTGCTTGAAAAGTAGCTACCTTTATACTTTACTCTAAAGCAAAAATTTACCCCCATATTATTGTTCTACGTGTTACTTATAAAGGGATCAATGTAGAAAGCAAATGTAGTAATCTTTATTGCAAAATTTAAAAAATTACCCTTTTACAACTAAAATAAAATGGGGTTTCCCATACCCCACCTGTCTAATACGTATTTTACATAATCTCAGGTGTCGGACGCAGAGTTACCTTCTGCTTCTGTTATTAGTTTGTAATTAACTTAACAATTAATCATACCTCGGCTATTGCTTATTGTCTTCCTTAACGCCCTTTCCTCTCCTGATACTTTTTCTAATACGTCCTCATTTCCAACCTTTTCCGTCCACAGTATTTTTAACATCATTTTAATGTTTTCTTAATTATCTGGGATCTCTAAATATCGAAAATCAGTTACATCTTTTAATTTATCGTCTCCCATTAGTTTTAAATATGAATGTTACAAAAAATTTTTTTTTGATAGAAACCCACAGTATCTGTGTTTTTTATGCTTTTGTTTTGTTTATTACCATTTTATCATCATGAAACTTTGTAGACACATTGTCAGAGGTAGAGAAAACGACATCATCATCATAAGGTCGGCAGTTCTAAGACTGGTAGGACACGCATCTCCTATCCTTCCTATCCTCAGCTAATCTTCGTATTTCACTAAAACTAGAACAACCTAAATCCTTAACTATTTGCGAACGGTAATCTAATCTAGGTCTACCTCTACCCCTCTTAACTCCCGTTTCTGCCTCTTAATACGTCTCTGACTACACCTTTATGCCTGAGAATGTGTCCTACCAACCTATCTACTCTATTTTTTATTGACTTCCATAAAGCCCTATGTTCTCCTATTCTTTCTAATACCTCTTCATTTCTAACCTTCCATTTCGAACGCTTCGACGTAGGGTATCTTTTAGCCAAAAAAAAACATACTAGGTATTTCCAAGGGATAGAAAAATTAGTTTTATGTGTCCGTCGATCATCTTTGACCAATATTTAGGACATCAACTAGTAGATACTATCAAGTAAATTAACAACAAAGGGATTATAACACTACTCAATTGATGACGGAAAAATATTACATCAGTCTAAAAGTTTGTCGATAGCTCATAACGAAAAAAAAAATGCATTCTCCAGTTTCCTAGCGGTGATTCAGATTGACTATGACATACATAATAGTCCTAAACTGTAAACCTAACCTATAAGTGTAATAAATCAACAACAATTGGACTAATCAATACCTACCGGTAACAAGCGACTAACGTGTTAACCACATTCATTTGTCTGCCCACCGCGGAAACAATGCGTGTGGTGGCGTTCATGTCATCCACGGCCTATTGCCTGACGTGGCTGGATTTACGGGATCAACTTGGAATCCTGTATTACCGCGATCACACCTTTACTCGTCCAAAAAAGTAAAGAGGGGAACCGACACGGTAAAAAATACTTGACAATTTAGCTTGACAGTAGCCAATTTATTTGAGCTCACATGAACAAGACGAAAAAGCTCATTGTCAGTTTCAGGTTCATATTTGTATTTAAAATTAACGTAGTCGAAAATCGCATCATCAGAAATCAAAAATTGATAACAAATAATTTCAACTTTCGACATAAAGCTATACCTTCTCTAAGTACAATAGAGACAGAATATCGATATACTAATAAATAAAATTGATTTCCAACTCATTCGTTTCATCAGGACTACAAGGACTTACATCGTTGATTGGGGATTTCTTGATGGCCCCATTTATTAACAGACGAATAGAATTTTTACCTGAATTAATTCGAAACTATTATTTTCAATTTTATATAAGAGAAGAAACTTAATATTGCTGAAATGTCAACTAATGCCTTTAGGATTTTAAGACTTATACAAAACTGAAAACTGGTTGTAGGCTTTTCCAGAGAATGCGGTCTACGAAATTTTGTTTTTTTTTATTATGTCGCCTGTCAAAGCCTCTGAATTACAAAACTTAAAGTTGAAAATATTAAACAAATTTCGTCAAAAACGTAAAAGAACCTTTCTGAGATAAAGTGGACATTTAGTTTAAAAGCAATAAAAAACTAAGGAATTAAATATAAGTAGCAGAAGAAAACACTGAAAAGGAATAGGCACTGGTACTCCACTTCTTTAGATCCCTGTAGCTGTTGGAACAAAAGAAAGTGAAGATGAGGATGATGTATAAATGCAACTATTTTAGATATCTGAACTCTTAACTATCTATATATGTGTGGATAGATAAAGTTTAAAGATATGGGGAGATTGGTGGTAAAATGTAAGGGATTTCCAATTAGTTTTAAAAGAAAATCTTTTTGTGAAGGTCTCAGTTCACTAAGTAATAATCCTAAGCTTGACCAATGGTTTAGGTTTAACTGACGCTGTGCTGATTAGGCTCTAAAGGTCATCCAGCTTCGGAGATGGAAGGACTTCCGAAGAAGTTCGCCACTCGTGCTAGCGAAACGCTAGAAAGCAACTCCATCTGACGACGACCTTTAGGTCCAAATCAGAGTAGCACCAGTTCACTTACTGACTCCTTATTAGCCTCTGATACGATTTTGGACAATGATGCACAAATGACTAAATGGAGCAGTCAAACTTTGAACAAACAACAAAATTTACTTTAGCCAATTCTCGAGAATTCCTCCACATGTCCATACAGGGAACAGAAGCTGACTAAAAATAGGGAAAAACATGGGACGACATAATAAATGGACAAGCCCCATCGGAATTTCGAATCGGATTTTTCATTGGAAAAGGTATCACCTATTTTATGGATTCATATTTACAACATTATTAGATTTAAGAGTTCAACAATAATGTTTTAGGTTTTAACTATTTAATAGAAACCTAAATGGTCATACCCGCTTAACTTAAGTAGCACATCTATATCAACAACCTTAAAGTTGAACAAGTGGTGAAATAGAGAGACTATAGAGATAAATAACGAACGGAAATTAATTGAGTAAATTTAAATAGTTGGATCAAAAATTAAGGATATACAATATAATGTAGAAAAGGGGTTTTGCTAATGGGGTATAGGGTATATGCCGTAAAAATGTGATATACCCATACGGTAACATAACGAACATAATGAATAAATTGAGGAGTAGCCGATTAGAGGATGATATGTGAGATTTAATAATTGATAAACCAAGATGTAATAGGTAGCTGTAAAGGGGAAAGCAAGTCTAGTTAGGATATGAATAATGGGTAGATATATCTAAGATTCAGAATGGTATAAGTAAAGTGATAACAATGATTTAAGTGTTAAAGATTATAAATGATGTGATGGAGATAATTCTAGAGTTTTTAAAGAGAATGGTATTTAAAGCTAATATATAAGGAAAAATTTAATGCTAAAGGTAGAGTTTGCAAACACTATCTAAAAGTAAACCTCTAATTTAAGGTTAGTGAGATGAATGAGAGAAGCCATTTCTTCCACTTCAAGAAGCCATTCTAAACCGAAACAATTATATAAACTAGTTTATACATTTATAAAAATAAACAAATTGTTCTTAACAATGACAACGGTCCTATCCCTGGATCTCCGCTATTTAGTTTAGTTTAATTACGTTTATGATGATGATGTAAAGGTCCATTCAACATCTACCTTGTTGGCTTCGGGTCATGTTCACTGAACCTTAACAACTATCAGTATAAATTAGGATTAGTTCTCATTTAGGTTTAGTTTACTTCAGTCCCTGAAGAAGGTAACTTTGTTACCGAAAAGTACTTCGGACAACTACAGTGTCGTGTTTTGGCGTTGGGGTTTTGAGCTATTCTGTTTGTTCTACAACAACCGCCAAAGTTTTTCCAATCTTCATATTTCGAAACAATTATTGTATTGGAAACGTTAGGAAATAATTGGTAGCTTTCGCTTTGCAATCCTCCACCCTAGGGATCTCTCAGTTAAAAGGGACCATCTAGGAGAAGATTTCGATACCACAGCCATCAAGCCCAAGATCATAGACACCGGCTGCGAAAGACTTAACGTGCTATCTTATTTGTTTTCAAGACTGTCATCAATCACGTAAATCAAAAATGCATCAAAAAGAAAAGTTTTAAAAACCCGACAAACATGAAAAAACACTGTAGGTACAAATATTAACCCGACTAGAATTTTAAGGGGACAGCTAGGGTTCCTATGTGAGACTGTAGATTATACAAGTCGATAAGTCTAATCGAACCCCAATAAAGCAGATGGTGGGAAGACTTATACTGAACCACATACGTCATTTAAATATCCCTAATTTCTTTTATAGGGATCATCATTAGGAATCTACAAAAAAATCTATCTCATTTGCTGTTGAGGCATATCCCCTTACAAATTCTAGTCAGGACAATAGCTCCTTAAGGATAGAAACACATACCTTGATCGCTTTCCTCGCCATACTCCGACGAATTGGCTTCCTGATTTTGCTTCCAAAAACAGATACCGTCACTATACACTGACTGTTTTCCCGTAAATTTATTGGGATCTAGTATATTTTCGACGGAAAACGCCAATCGTCTGTTCGAGTGGGACACTACCGACGGACTGACACCGGCCGATGGTGGACTATGCGATCTACTAGCGTCACTACAAACGCTATCCGGCCTTTTACCATTGTTATTATTACTATTAATATTGTTGTTATTATTACTACTACCGTTATTCGGATCCTTCAGGTCATCGTTATTGTTCGCACTACCGCATTCTAACGATTTCACTTCTCGATCACTCGAATTCGAATTCGGAATGAGATTTTCGAAGGAGGCCGCTGTGAATCCTCCTTTCTGATGATGATGATGATGGTGTCTCCTCGTCAGATCGACGGGACAGAGCGATTCCTCCTCGTTCTCCACATCGACATTCAGTTCTTCTCCGCCCGATTCGCTCGCCTTGTCGAACATTTCCGCATCCCTGGAATCGTCGGATATTCGCTTCTGTTGAAGGAACAATTGTGGATCTACCGCCGATTCCGCCAGCGGCGATCTTTTACTGTTAAAATCGAGCGTGCTCTGTTGACCCGCGGAATCTTTTGTTCTCGCGGCTTCCATGATCCTTTGCATCATCATCATTGTCATCATTGATGAGTGTTGTTGAATGACAATCACTTGTAACAATCAACGTTCCGTTTTGGCACTTGTTCGTCTACTCATTTACATTTTCGCAGAGCGTTCTCTTGTTGAAGCACTTCACGTAATCGAGGGCACGTTTCGCACGGCTAGAGCGGTCATCTTCATCGCGATCTCGCAGTTGAAATAACTAACGAAATGTGAACCGGCAAAAGTATTGTGCGGATATAGATACACAGTAGAGATCGTTCGTTCATCTCCCCTTTCGGCATCAAGATGAAAGAAACGCAGCATCTTCCCGTGAAAATGGGTGGGGAAGGGGCGGTCGCGATTGGTTCGGGATGAGAAACGGACGGCAAACGATTGGCCGCAGACTAATAAGGGGCGGATGCTCGACTAAATACGTCGAGTGGTTATGTTTGCTCTGTAATTATATTATGAATATGATTTGTTCTACTGTAATAACAAAAGCGACGGTTGTGAAATTAAAGGACCGTGCTTGTAGAGAAGTTTCGAGCAAAGGTCGTTATTCACCGGGGAACAATGGTACGACGTTCAATTAGAACGGCTATTGCGATCTTTTTAATGCGGCGAAGAGATTGGACGTAACGTTAAAAAAATGATTGGTCGTAGGTATCTCTGAAACTCGTTAAAATCGCGCGTTGCGGTTTTTTATTTATTTTCGACTGTACCTACACTAATGCGATCTACTCACTCACTCCGATTACATCGCATTATCTGCATGTTTACTACCTACCAGATAATACGAGATACCACCTTCAATAAACTGATGAAAAATTGTCTGAATCGGATTTCCGCTTTTCAGACCACACCGCATCTTGCATATAGCTATATGTAACATTTACTACCTCTTCACTAACTTATTTAAATGCTATGTCAATATTGAAATAGACTACAGCGAAGTTCGCTTGTAATAATTCCGCATATAATGACAATCCGTTTATAGTGCCGTGATTACGTTAAAAAGTTTTCTTTTTATGTTCATAATAAAACATTGACATTGAAAATAAAATTGGGGGTCCTTAGAAGTCCGTCAATAATAATCCTTTATTTGAGGTTTTCGAATGATTTTTATACTTATCTACTTTTAAATGAAAATTACTTACATATTTTTAATTTTTTGTTTTACGTTTAATTTACCTTAGAATACACCAACTAGTTTAAATGTAACACCTAAACGTTCGAAGGGGGTACTTTTCGGTAGCGATTTTATCTTTTCTTCAAAGATTGAAGGAGAATTAGTCTTCAATCCCTGAGGAAGCTTACCTTTTGTAACTAAAAAGTTGATTTTGGGCTCTATAGTATCCACAACATCGCCAAAGAAAAATCACTCTACTGCAAAGTCCTTCGAAATGTCGGTCATGCATATAAGATTAATACAGAAGTGAATAGATGGGATGTTCTTGCGTATATCTCAAGAGGTTTTTAGATTCTTACGTTTGTTTTCCACCTAAGGGCGTTTAGAGTTGACCTTGAACTTTTTTATCAATTCATCATTATCTTAAGGTCGTCAGTTCTGAGACTGATTTTACACGCACCTCCACTCCTTCCTATCCTGAGCTAATCTTCGGATTTCCTTAAAACTAGACCATCTCACATTCTTAACTATTTGCGAGCAGTAATCTAAACTAGGTCTACCTCTAGTCGTCTTAACTCCTGTTTCTGCCTCTAATATGTCTCTTACTAGACCTCCATGCCTGAGAAGGTGTCCTACCAACCTAACTCGCCTATTTCTTATTGACTTCGATAGAGTTCTCTCTTCTCTTACTCTTTCTAATACCTCTTCATTTGTAACCTTCTCTATCCACGGTATCCTCATCATTCGCCTGTAACACCACATTTACGCTTCTAATCTTTTTTTTCCGCCTCGCCCACCGTCCAAACATACACTTCTAACAATCTTTTTCGAATTTCTAGATAAATGGTTCGCGAGAATAAAAGTGACTTCTTTTTATTGAAGGTGACTTGACCCTGCGCAATCCCTACTACTTCTTCCGTTTTGACTTATCTGACTTCCTTGATACATAAAAATCAACCACTTGTTATCTTTCGTCTCCTATCTTTACATTCGCTCTTTCCTACTTTTTCTTCCCATGCATACCTGTATTTTTGTTTTACTTTTATTTATTTTCATACAATACTGTTTTGTCAATGCCGCTTCCATTTTATTTAAAGCTATCTCTATCTCTTCCATGCTAGATGCTAATACTGCTATATCATCTGCAAATCTAAGCATACTAATCTTTTTCCCTTCTATATCTATCCCTACGGTCTTAAAGATGTTAATCGCGTCTTCGATGTATTCATTAAAAAGATTACTAATTGGAAAAATTCTTTCATAGATTATTCTTGTTAAGCATGAATCATGTTAGAACATATAGAAATTGACTTTTCAATCATTAAAACCGATCAAAAATTTGCCAATTAGCAAAATCAATTGTGGTTTACTTATTTATATAAAATCTGACATCCCCTGGTGAAAAATTTAGCCTTGGAATCGAAAAATAGCATCCTATTGAAATACACCAGGGTCTCTTCCTCTATTTATTTCTTTTGCAATAAATTCAGGTGACCTATCCTGAAGGACAAATAGTTAAGGATGTAGGATGTTTTAGTTCTAGTGAAATTCGAATATTGGCTCAAGATAGGAAAGAGTGGAGGTGCGTATCCAACCAGTTTTAGAACTTATCACTTTATAATGATGATCTTGAAGGACAAATTTGAAATAGAATCATTTTTCTTCTTTCCAGTCTCTCCCTATTTGAGATTAAATAAGAAAATTGGCGCTTTTATAATTGTAAAATCCAATAATACCTATGCGTAATTATGTTATCACATAAATATTCGCAAACTTCATAAATTATTTACGCAAAAAAGGTAGGCAAAAATCAAATTATCTTTTATCAAAAACAGGAACACGCAAATGCAAAATGTATAAATTGTTAATATGATTATTACTGAAAATAAACGCACCTGCATTAGCTGTTCTGTAAAGTATTTCCGATAAACAAGTTAATTTGGACCCAATTCAAATCATAAATTAGTTACTTCATCTAGTATTTGTTAATTTCAAGGAAAATTGTTGTTATAAATTTTGGTAATGATTTTAATTAATCATTTGAATGTACTCGCTTAGAAAATGTGTGTCTGCAAGTGGGTGCTTCAAGGAAATAATAAATTCTCATTACGGATCCCACTGCAGTGGACAATCACAATGGAGATGCAAGTTTTATTTGAAACTTCTCTTAAAATACAAATATCAATCTTTCATTCCTGTTTTGAACGGGGCATTTTTTCTGTACGTAAATTTATAATAATTGAGTTATCAACTCTGTGAAGTTGGCACCCCCAAATGCCAATTTTTCAACGAAATTGACATGGTTTGTTTGTCCAAGATGAGGTCAGGATAGCCCAACATTTCTTTTTCTTTAACCCACCTATAGGTCAAAACTTGTATCTAATAAAAAAAGTTTTTTACGCTCACCCGAGATAAAAATGTCCCGTCTCTCAGAGTCTCTGAAAGCGAGACTCGAGTCTCCGTCTCTCATGGAGTCTCTCTGGTGTCGCTGAGAGAGACTGTCAAAAAACTGTTTAGCGTCTCTGAACGAGAGACTCGAGTCGCTCATAGAGATCCTCATTTCGTATCCAGTCTCTGAACGAGAGACTCGAATCTCTCAATTTTTCACTTTTATTCATTCAGTCTCTCTGTCAGAGACTCGAATCTCTGAATTAACAATTTTATCGTTCGAGTCTCTCATACAGAGCCTGAGAGATTCATAAAAACACCTCTCTCAGAGTCGTTGAAAGACTATGAAAGATTTTGAGAGACTGGAGACGGAAAATTTTTGACTAGGGGAGGACCACGGAAAATAAAAATTTGTAAAATTTGATGTTTTTAAAATCTTGGTTTTACACTGTTTCAGAATTGTCAAAAATTACTAGTGTAATTATTATATTTCATTATGTTTACATGAAACGATAAGTTAATAATAATAATTTGATTTTAATAAATTATATGGATAGGTACTATTCAAACAGAGGATTTCTATTCTGATTTAAAAAGTATTACCACTTATTTTGATACTTCAGAATACAAACCTGATAATCCTTACAACTTTCTATTCAGAAAAGTTGGTATAACATTGGGAAACTAAATGACAGTATTAAAGCACACATTTTCACATTATTCATGAATGACAAAAAAAAACTTTTGAACTTGGACTAACAAATGACAGCGTAAAAACATCGAATTTTGTAAATTCTTATTTTCACTGGTTCTCAACTTGAAAAAAATTTTTTTGTTATAAATTTTTACATAAGGGTGGGCCAACGTGTTATAAAGCAAATATATTAACATGACGACTAATAGACAACAATTTAAAATCACTTACATGTGATTTGATGACGGTGAGATATTGCTTTCTTCAAATACCTTATGTAACCTGAAACAAAATATATTTCTATTATGTACATATTTTCTGTTAATTATTTAAGTAAAAACTATTGTCAAAACTAAAATCGAATCTGCTATCTTTGTATTAAATAATTTCATAGAAATTAAACTGACGTCTCATCAGTCACGAGAGGATCTAATTAACCAGACAGCTCAATAAATTGAATCTGAATGATTATACTATTAATCCGGCATAATTTATTACGAATTCGGATTGTACAACTTTGTCTGCAATCATCCAGCTGATAACATATTTAAAACAGTTTACATCATGTAGTTCTTAGGCTTTCACGGCCGGCGACTTTACATCATGATTTAAAACCACTTCTTGATATATTTTTTAGGAAAAATAAGTTAGAGACAGTCCCTGATTGAGAATGACATCTTATTGGGATCGAAACGTGTATTAGATATTAGATTTTGAATCATGTTATCAAATAGTTTGAAGTTGCTTTTGACATCAAGTCAACCAAGTTACCTAAGTAACTCAAATAGTCGATTTTTGAACAAAGCTTGATCTTTAAGTCAAGTAATTCGCAAAACCTTCAAACTATTTGACTTGATGAATTAATAATAAAGTGTTGCAAAACCCACAATTACTTTATTAATACATACATTAGGGTGCTTTAAACAAAATTTTTATTATTTTTTTTTTAATTCTTACCCTCTCAAATGTTTTTATTTGATGTAAAAAAAAATCCTCGCCAAACATGTGGAATCGAAAAAT